AAACAGAATGGCTATCATGGAGAAAACACAGCTTTTCAGCTTATAAACTATGTGACCTTGAACAAGCTAATTACGCTTTAGTCCTCTTATTTGTAAAACTGGGAAACAAAAATCTGTCTCACTGGCTCCTTCTAGAAATAAAGCCGACTAGCCTGTATAAAGCACTTACCATGGTATCTGGAAGGTGGTAATTACTTGTGTCCTTTTCTTCTAATTTTCTGATCAAGGTCACGTGTCTGACTAGTGTCCAGGCAATTATTAGAGCCCAGACCTTTTATTTTCTAGGGCAAAGCTCTCTTCTACATAGAATTCTTCCATTATTCACATCATAATGTTCTCAGGAATGGGAAGAAGAAATATCTGAGAAGTATTTTTTTGTTAGTCTGAGAAGCAAGCCAGGGTCTGGTGCCCTTTCTTAAAAATAGTCAAGTTTCTACTGCTAATTGAGATAAGGGATCCTTTCACAATCTTTTCTTAGAATTCTAGGTGTGGCATAGCTAGTTCTTTTGTTTCTTTATACATAGAGAGGGTGGGGGGATATATAATGACTCACAAGTGGAGAAAACTTGAATGTGTCTCTTATTAACTGAGCTTGTTTGAATGCGCTGGAAAATAGGACACAATGCAGGCAGGGCCAACCGAGTGCTCAAATTAAAATATCTGTTTCCAGGTTACCATGAGGCTCTAGAATGCTTTCCCCCTAGCTTACTTGGCTCCCAGAAAGAATCATTTTTAAACATCCAAATGTTAAAACACAAATGAAAAATTATTGTCAGTATTCATGAAATAATAATTAATAATCGAGATTTTTCCAGTTTTGTTGTGATATAATTGACATGCAACACTGTGTAAGTTTGGCACATGGTGGTTTGATTTACATCCATTGGGAAATGATGACCACAGTAAATTTAGATAACATCCATCATCTCATATAGGTACAAAAACATTGTTTGTTTGTTTTTCCTTGTGATGAGAACTCTTAGGATTCATTCTCTTAACAATTTTCACATATACCATACAGCAGTGTCAACCGTAGTCCTCATGTTGTGCATTACATGCCAAGTACTTCTTCTAACTGAAAGTTTGTACCTTTTGAGCACCTTCTTCTGACTCCCCTCCCTGACTCCCTGCCTCGGGAAACCACAAACCGGATCTCTTTCTTTATGTGCTTGGAGTTCTTTTGTTGGTTTAATTTTTTTTTGTTTTTAATATTCCTACATATAAGTAAGATCAGACAGTGCTTGTCTTTCTCTTTCAACTTTAGCATAATGCCCTCAAGAGCCATCCTTGTTGTCCCAGACAGCAGGATTTCCTTCTTTCTGGTGACTAGCATTTCATTGTATGCATATATCACATCTTCTTTATCCTTCCATCTTATACCTAGTATCTGCCAACCTGTGCATCTACTGTCTATCTTATTTTTTAGCCTTTGAAGACTTGAAACCAAAGATGTAAAGCTAATCTGATGGGCACATTAGTTTTGGCAGTTTATTTTTATCCAGAATATCAGTAGACTTGGAGGGGAGTTCAGTGTTCCCCCCTTGTCTTTATTAGTTGTTTTTTTTTTTTTTTGGAAAAGAAAAGTACTGTTACTTTTTGCTAGTTTATACAAATGGCTAATTGACTTTTTAAAAAAAGTTCTTCAATACTGGTCAAGTATTTCCATTTGTTCACAGTTTGTTTTAATTTTAAAATAAAAAGCATCTTCTCCACTGTGCACTAATAAATTCATCACCACTGCCTCTGGAGTAAATTAGTGTTTTTGCATTCCTAAGGTAAAAGGGATCCAGAAGTAATGGGGGAGCCACTGATGTCCTTAAAGAATCACAAAACGGAGTTTATTATGTCTTTGCTGTGCTGCCTCGCCTTTATCATTGGAGATAAAGGCAAGGCTTAGCTCCCCTCTGTGAAGCCCTGGGGAAGGCCACCAGGCCTCCACATTCTTCCTTGAACAGGAGACTAACTACTAGATTTTACCCTCCACCGTGGCCTGTCTTCCCCTGCTAGCGACTGGGCTACACCACTGACAATCCTGCAAGCAACAAGAATAGCCATTTACTTTTTCTTCCTTATTACTTCGGTAGGAGTTGTTTTGGCATTTCTCTGACGTGCTTGTTTTGTGTGTGTTTTCTCCTGACTCCTTGGGAATTTATTTGAAGGGCAACATGTTTATTGCGAAGCATGTTGGATTGTTCATTTTAAGCCTACATTTTTTAAGTGTGGAAATTGAGTTATCTGAGAAGAATCAGAACTGGAGAGATGAATGGTGACAGGCAGGAATGGGAATGCTTTGCTAGTTAGGATTTCATGTAGCCAGCAAAGACCACCTTTCAACCTTGGGCAATCAGAGCTCTCTTCTGGGCCTCATGATTCAGGCATTCTGCTTTAGTTCTCTTGAGCCGTCTATTCCCAACGGGCAAATTATTTTGAAAAATGGAATGTTTTTTTGAAGCCATATTTGTGACGCTACAATGGAGATGAGCTACATAATGTAAGTACAATAATGTAGGAACCTAATTCCCTGAGCTCTGCTCAAGAAATTAATGACTGTAGAGAAAGAGTAAAAATAGTCTGAAGATTATTTTCTATCTTAAAAAAAATATATATTTCCCTACAAATTAGGTTGTACAGGGTATTACTTAATAATTCTCGACATTAAAAAATTGATTTCTGTTCACTTTCCTAAATGGGCAAAAGTGAGTCAAGAGGCCTTCATAGGGTATAAAGTTTAGAAACAATAGAAAGGCAGATGACCCTGTCCTACACTGGCTGTCATCTTTACCTCTGAGGAGATGCTAGATGAGAAGCTGAAAGTACATTATCTAATACAGTATTGGTCTAAGTTTGGTTTAGGAAATTCACATAGGTTATGAAAGAGATTCCCTAGTAATAAATACTGTATATTCTGAGCAAAAGCTAAATCGTTTTTTCACAGCAGGACATGAAGAAGCTTCAGTGTGCTGATTTATATCATAATCCACTAAAAGAAGAATATAATGGTTCTCTTTGCCATGTTTACCACAGAACCTTTTATGGGAGGGGTTTCTGAACTTGGGCCTCCATGAGCTAACTTTGGTGTGTGAGCACCTGAGAATATTACTTCTACTAATTCTTCCTTGGGTCAGTCTGAGATGGAGGAGTCTCTCTCTCTTCTCTGTATATTTTTAAATTTCCCTCCTATTTTTAAATTTACCCCTCCCCCTGTAAAAAAAGTCTGTAACCTTTGGTCTCCCCACCATTACCCATTTCCATTATATATAACTTCGGTCAGGGTCTGAGATTGTCCCATCCAATATAAAAGAAGTGTTGAGTGTTCTTTTATTGTAGATTCAGCAAATCACTACTACTGCATTTCATTATCTTCTAAATCACTTCTATTTTCTTTGTTATGGATGTGAAGCTACATTTTATTGGGATGGACCATATGGCAATAGCTGATATTAAACTGATAATAGTGGCGATCCATGTCGTTCAACCTAAGATGTTAATATTATCAAAGAGAATTATAGTTACCAAGATACTTTTTTGCAAAAAGAGACTTAGCTACCTAAAGAATTTGGCTTAATACTTTCATAAATAGACTGGACGATTGGCAGAAGAGATCACCTATGCTTGTAAATGATACCAAGTTGGCCGAGATTGACAGTATCATGTAAGGCCAGACAAGAATGCAAAATGATACAATCAATTTGACAGTGATGTGCACTGGATAAAATGAATTACAGTTAGGGTGCATGCAGGGTTTTGTTTGCAAAATAGAATAATTAATTTGAAAAATGCAACAGGAATAGAAACATTTACTTGGACTGGGCAATATTCAGAGGAGTTTTAAAGTCACAGCCAATCATAGAGTCAGGCTCTGCTGAACAGGCCCAAATGGGACACCTCTGAGCCATTCATTCTGACTGACCATCTGGACCTCATCATGTAGATTTTGGCTGCCACACTGAATGACTATTGGCACTAGATCAATGGTTCCATTCTAAGGTCTATGAACTTCAGGCATTGGGACATAGCATTATTATTTTGAGTAATATAAGAATACTCTCCCTGCAGCCCATTTAAACTCTGTTCATCTTTCCAAACTCAGTTAAAGGTCAAGAGGTTCAGAGATTATTTCTATAGGAGACATATTGCTTAACTTAACACAGGGTCTGACAAACATTTCTGGCTGAAGATAGCACCAGCTTCTTTGTATATGGACCTTAACTTTGAACTTTTTAAGTTACTTCAAGACAAGAGCCCAGTATTATACATATATTATATTTTGGTAGGACTAGTGTGTAGTCAATAAAAACATTGGTAACATTCATCAACTAAGACTTAAGAAAGTTAGTATCACAACAATAAAAACAGCACAATGTTGATTTGAGGACATAAAAAGTTAAGAAATTTCTGTGGAAGTAGATGACCATGGCTCTTATCCTTTTGATTCTTGAACCAAATTTTCTCATTAAGAAACAAAATATGTAATTATTTTTTGTGCCAATCATATTCCATGGCGGTATTTAATATAGCCATTAAACTTTATTACATTCTAAATTCCAATAAATCTAAGTCAGTGTTTGGTTTAGTGGAGTTTCATGTAAGATTTGTTACTCAGAGGTGGTGGTTTTATGTGTTATAAAATGAAGTTAAATGGAAATAATTTTTATTGTGCTTTCATGTCTTAACTGTGGAGGTGCTAGATGGATTTTTTTTTAGTGCTAAATTTTCTGACCAAGTGTATAATTAAACTTCTGGTTTATTCTTTATCCTCCTGTCTCTACAAATTAATTAATCATTTTAGAATGATTTATCAACTTTGGTTATTGAAGTAAAATCCACAAACTACATTATACCATCTACAGTAGCATTACCCCTCAGCCCCTGTATTGTATATGTGTTTGAATTTATTAGAGCTCAGTCCCAAACCAACGTCACCCTTGAGATTTTCAGTTACAGTAATGGGTTCCTTTGGAAAATAATTCGAGACTAACTGGATGTTGTTAAATTCTCAGGCCATGGTAAGTGTGACTGTGGCAAGTGCAAATGTCAGGAAGGTTGGTTTGGGAATGCGTGCCAGTACCCAACTCACTGTGACCTGACGAAGAAAAAGAGTAACCAGATGTGCAAGAATTCTCAAGATGTCATCTGCTCTAATGCAGGTAAGAAATCCATCCTATGAAAATTCTTAAATAATCCCATTTTGGTTTTTCATGGAAAAAGGTAGGCGTTGAGAAATGTGGAACCTCTGAGAGAGACTGCTTTTGAGTATATTTTTTTGAAATGAAATGCAGATAAATCAATAGGGGAAAATGTCATCTTGCTGAGACTGGCAAGTTTGATGCTCCCCAGCTGTTCCAAATGCCTTCTTCAAGCAGGATATTCACAGGAAACAACACCCCAACAACATTTTATGTAAATTGTGAGCCATGATTTTGAATGCTGGATTAAATCTTTCAAAAAGGATTTATATAAGCTGACTTAATTATTTTCTATTACAGTTCAAGGGTGCTTTGAATTTATACCTTAGCATCAAATAGAACCAAAACTTTTTAATTTGATAGAAACTTTAGATGCACTGGATGTGAAACTCAGGAGAAAATATAGTGAAATCACAATTTTATGTTTGGTGAAAATATTTTTACATCTCATAGAAGACATTTAAAAATGTTTTTTAGAAATTTATGGTAAAGCTGTTAAAATTAATTACCCGGATCATATAAAACAAAGCAACTGGTTTTGGTTTCATTAGTGCTTAGCTGATGTTACTAAAATTCAGTACTCTTTTCGTATTTGGGCACATGGAACCTCAAAAGTCCACTTTTTCTAAAGATTGGTGGAATTTGGGAATTCTCAGGTCCAAAGCTGGGAGCTTTGATTGAGTTGTTTTGGTGGGTGTGGTTTGGGCTGCAATGGGTTTTTAAAGCTTTCCCAGTAATTCTTTTGGAAAACCCTGGGTGTGAGCCATTGTTTTGGATGCTAAAGACAAGTTTTTGACTACAAGAGTAGTGACTATCTTCCCTCTTGAAGTCCCATTGTAGGTAGAGTCCTCCTTTGTTCAGAGCTATCATCTTTCTGCAGTCTTTGACTGCATTGAATTGCCCTGTATAGATTAAGAGCAGTAAGAGTATTTTGCTAGTAGGAATCAAGGCCATACCCAAAGCAAGTTATGAGTGGATGGGTCAGCACCATGACTAATGGTCTTAACAGTCGGGTTATTCACTGTGTTAACTGATCTCCTTGCTTCTCTCCAGCACCTTAATCTTTTCTGTCTTCTCTGTAGAATTTTCCTACCTCCAGTTCCTAATACTCATCCCTACACACACACACACACACACACACACACAAGGCCTCGAATGCTTACCATATAGTCTCATTGTTTTGAAAATGTCAAGCTTTCCAAACTTCTTTCAGTAATAAAGCTTGAATTCTGCTTTGTTTCTTTGTTCTTCTTGGCTCAATTTATATATTGTTTATTTTTCAAATCAAATCTAGGGTTTTTTTTAAATAAAACATTATAAACAAATAGGAGTTAGTTTAGGAATCCATATGTTTCAACATTTAAGTGAAAAAAAAACATGAAAAAAAACATTAACATACCTTAAAGAAGAAATTTACAGAATTGTTTCAGGAAATGATGAAACATATTTGATAAGATACAAAACACAGTTTTAAGATACCTGAGCCTCTATCTTTTTTAAAATCAGTATAATACTTTTGTATAATCAACCATCCATATTCCAGTTTCATTCACTGACCGAACAATGTCCTTTACAGCATTTCCCTGCCTCCGTAGGATCAGTCTAGGGCAGAGTTATATTTAGCTGTCATCTCTTGTTAGCCTCCTTTAATCTGGACCATTTCCACAGATGATGGTGTTACAGCATTGAAAATTTTGAAGAAAATTCTCTCCAACCTTTTTAAAAAAAATTTATATAATGTTACTTGTTTTGGCTTTGTCTGATGTGTTCGCATGATTAGATTCATGTCATACATTCTTAGCTGAATCACCAGATAGAGGATTCTGTGTTCTCAGGATGTGTCATCTGGAAGTCCATGATACCCATCTGCTCTCACTGGCGAGGTTAATTTTGATCACACGGTCAAGGTGTTGTCTGATGTCTCAGCCCTGTAATTACTGATTTTGTCCTTGTAACGAATGAACAGTCTATTGGGAAACTCTTAGAAATTATAAGACATCACATCCTCATCAAAATTACCCCCGATTTACCATCCACTGATGACTTCCACCTGACCCAGTGCTCACAGTAGTGACTGAAAAATGATGATTTCCAAACTCCAGCATTTCTTCCCTATTTACTAGTTGGTACCCAACATTGTACCACAAGTAAGAGTCTTCTCTCATCTACCCGTTATTGGTTATATCATTTACTTAGTGATTTATTGTCAGTCCAGGATCACAGTTCCTGTTACTTCAATGGTATTACTCATTATCGCACTTAATTACTCTGGTGCTCAGCTTGTCCCAGATGAGGCAGTTGGAACCCCTTCAAGCTAGCGTCTCAGTCCTTGTGACATGCCTTCACTGTTTTGTTTCATCTTGTTTCAGCAATTCTTTCTTTTCTGGCATAACAAAATATTCCAGAGCCATATTGTACCAGATTCGCCACAGCTTTGGAATCAACCATGTCTCTAAAGAGTCTTGGTTCCTTTAGGTGAAGAATGGTATTAGAATAAAAAGTGTAAGTACTGGGGATGCTTATTTCTACTGGGATGAATTTGCTTCTTGGCCCTTTCTACAGACAGGATAGTAAACATGCACATGAACGTGTCCGTGCACATACATACATACATAGATATACACACAGATATATTTTAGAAATCATGAATTCATAGCAATACATATAACTGCAGTCCACCCCCCACAACATTATCTCCTGTCTTTCCCCTACCATATTTGCAGGTCCCATTTTTCACACTGAGAACTCTGGTTCCCAGCAGCATGGATATATTTCCTTATTTGCTCAATCCTAGAGTACATCTAAAATTGTTTTTAGAATAGCTTCATGTGTACCACTATACAAAACAAGTCTACCAAACATGTTGGGATTTGTTTGCAATTGACCTCCTCCCCCACCCCCACCCCACCCCAGCCATGCTCAGGATTGTTGTGTTCCTAAGTTATTTGGGTTTCTTTCCTTTTGTCTCCCTTTAGTGTAGTTATTATATGTGTTAGAAGTACAACTGAGCTTGTTTACTTCAGATTGCTTTCAGTTTTAGACTTTCCCCCCCTTCTTTGCATCCTTATTGATTTTATTTTATTTTATTTTGCAATATGTAGAACATTAGGATGCCTTCAAAAGTCAAAACTATATAAAAAAGCATCGTTAGCAGATCATCATTCTCTTCTTAAACCTTCCCTCCTGCTTTCCTCATACCCAGTAGGTAACCAACTTTATGGTGTTCTGCTTTGTCTGTGTATATGTTTATTTTAAATAAAGGCAGATAGATAGATGTATGTGTTATCATTTTTTTTTCATTTGTTCCCTACACAAAAGGTAGTGTGCTGTATATACTCTTTTGCACTCTGCCTTTGCCACTCAGAATCTCTTGGAATTCACTCCATATCAGTACATAGAAATCTTGCTCATTCTTTTTTCAGATGCATAGGACTCACCTCTGTACAAGTGACCTAATACTCAGTCTTCTATGGTTGGACACTTTCTAGTGTTTTGAAATTACAGATGTTAATGCAGAGAATGAACTGGTACAATGAACTGGTACAAATTCATATTTCGTGGGGGTGTATTTTCAGGATCAATTACTAGACATGAAATTGCTGCACCAAAAGGTAAATTTGTACACAGTATTAACACTTAACCTTTCTCTCTTACTCTCTACTCATGGAAGTCTTTCAAGTTGACTTTAGCAATCTCATTCTCACATGGCTTCTTTTAATGTCTATTTCTACCAGCTTAGTTCCGGATGACCCCCTCCCCCTAAACTGCATAAGGCTCTAAGTTCTCTCTACTAATTTTTCCCCCTTTATATCATGATGTGGTTTTCTGGAAGCAGCTTGGGGCAGAACAGGAAGAAGAGGAAGCTGGACTGGGACATAAGACTGGAGCGCAGGATGAGATGGAGCTGGGACTAAGGGAGTTCCAGAAGTTGACTCTAGAAGGGTGCAGAAGGCAAGACACAGCCTGCTGAGCAAAGTGGGGCTCAGTGCCATTGCAAAGGATTATGGGTGGTGTTCAAGACAGGGAAGTCTTCCTAGAGAGAGATCACCTTATTAGTCAGAATGAAAAGTCAGAGCGAAAATAATCTAGTATAAAGCAGAAGACCAGTCCTAGAGACTGAGCTCACTGGCAGCTAAGAAGGAGAAGCAGTATGCCATAACATGAACACAGAGTCTGTCACTTTTGCATGGGCTTCCATCTGCCATATCTTGGAGCTTCAGTTGTGAATTCTACTTGGTGGGTGAGACAGGAAGTCTCGGAACTGTTGTAAACGTCCCACATTAGCCAGAAATTGTTCAGATGTGTGGATGGGAGTGAGCCTGCCTGTCAGGGTGTCAGTGACGAGTTGTTGAATTCAAAGGTAGAGGCCGTTCCTTCCTGTCTTTTTTGAAATCAGCTCCGTATTCTGCCCTGCCGATGCTATACCTTATTTCCAAACCATGAGAGGCCCTGGTATTCCAGCAGAAAAATTCTAAAGTCCTTAGCCAGTATTCTTGATCCTTTACTCTCTGCCTTCAACTGACCCTTTTCTCCAAACCCAAGCCAGACTCTGCACTGTTTTCATTCCACATCCTTACCCCTTAGCTGAGCCTCCTTGCTCAGCATCACAAGCCTTTTCTCCATCTCCACCTCTTGAGATTCTATCCGCACATCAAGTGCCAACTAAAGAACTTACTCCTTTACTGTGCCTTTCCTCCTTTGCAGAGCCAGACTAAGGTTTATACTTTTTATATAGCATTTGTCACAGATAAGTTGCAAGTGCCTTTATGTCATCAGGTCTCATAGGTATGTGTAAAAATTATTGATTATCTGGGGCACCTGGATGGCTCAGTGGGTTAAGCCTCTGCCTTCGGCTCAGGTCATGATCTCAGGGTCCTAGGATGGAGCCCCGCATCAGGCTTTTTGCTCAGTGGGGAGCCTGCTCCCCCCACCCCTGCTTACCTCTCTGCCTACTTATGATCTCTGTCAAATAAATAAATAAAAATATTTAAAAAAAATTATTGATCATCTAAGCTCTTCCTCCCTAGTCTGTGATTTACTTAGTTTTAGTTTTATTCATCTTATCTCCTATAGCACCTGGTACTTTGCCAACAATATAATAGGCAGCAAGAAAATGTAGTGAATGGATATGTGGATGGTTGAAAGACAGCATGAATAAATGTGAAAATGGAAAAGAAGGGTGATAATTAGAGAAAAAATGAGATGATGCAGTACCATGAATTATAGCATGTGATTTGAAATAAGCTTTTATAAATTAAAATAGTTTTCAGGAAAAAAACACACACACAAGAAAAGGAAATTTAATAAATGTAAAATTCATACGAATTTTCTCAAGGTGGAAAAATAATTAGCTCAAATTCTGCAAAATCACCATTTCTATGTGACTGTGAGAGAAAAAACTCTTTATAGATAATAGCTAATTGGGAATGACCTGGGTAACAGAATCAGGCAGAGGGTATGAAGACGGGACGTTGTGGGATCCATCAATATACAGAGAGTCTAGAGGAAATATTTGGGAATGTGACTCATATACTCAGTATCTTCATGGAAGATGATGAAGAACCCAAAGTTTTCTGAAAACCTATGATGTTACTGAACAGAGTGTTTTCAGAAAGATGGCCGGGTGATATATTTACCACTGGGCTCTCGTAGCAGCCCTGTGAGGTAGATACTATTTTCAGAGAAGCAATTTGAGAGTTAGAGATGAACATAATGACCTCAAAAATGTACAGCTACAGATTAGTAAAACCTGGATTTGGCCACAAATCCATCACAGTCCCAAATCCATTCCCTTTCTAGCCCATCACATACAGAATTGCCAATATCCAGTAGCTTAGTTTAAACATCAGTATCATCTTCGGTTACTCCTAATCCTTTACCTCTCATACGCAGTCCCCAAGTCCTCTGTTCTTTCTCCTGTAAACACCCCTGAGTGTCTTCACTTCTTTCTAACTCACTGTTGTCACCCTGGTCAGCATCTATCTTCTTTCTTGCAGACAAATGTAATAAGCTATTCTCATATCCGCTGTGCATTTCACTTCATTCTGTAAATGACAACCAGCATAATCTAGTAAAAATTCATACATGATCACATGATGACTCCCTGGCTGAAAATACTTCTATGGCTTTTTGTTATTCTTGGATTAAAGTTGGAAATCTTTAACTGAGCTGTAGGACTTCAGTAAACTACACCTCTACATGCCTTATGCAGTTCATGCCACTTTCCACATCATTTTCAATGTTCCAGCCATCTCGGGCTTTTTCTTCTTATTTCCTCTTTCACCACAGAGCCTTTGCTGTTGTCTCTTGTGGGAAGTGGGCCTCCCCACCATCTCACTTCTTTAGCCCGTTATTTTTACTTTCCTCTCAGTACCTTGTTTAGGAGCTACATCCCCAGGGACTCTGTGTCTGCCTACCAGGTCTCAGTTAGATCCCCTGCTAAACTCTTCTGCAACACTTTGCACTTCTCCATTTATTTTATCACTTTGGTTTTCTCATATAATACTCTGAGAGGAGGATTATGGCTGACTTCATCTTGATTTTCCATTGTGTTTCCAAAGTCTAGGATGGTATCTGGTGAGTGGTAAAGTCTCAGTTCATATCTGTTGGTTGCTATGATGATCAATTAAAAATGGAAAAATAAGCATTAAAAAGGGAATTCCTGAAATGGACATTATACTTTTCAATGTCATTTGAATGCTGTTTTAATGTCAATGAAATCATTCAGGGTTCTAGTCAAATCCTCAAAGTTGGCAGAATCTGTGGGGTATGGTAGATCAGACGACTCCAGTGCCTCTACATTGCTATGAACCACCCTGAGGTTTTGGTGAGGGCTCACGACACTATACCTGAGAAAACCTGCTCTGGTCCCATTGTCATAAGGACGCGTGGATCAGTTTAACACTGTGGAGGTGAAATTATTAGGAGATTCTAAATTTTTCATTTATGCATTTGATAATGAATTCCACAAATATTTATTATATAAATATTATGCTCAAATATTGTGCAAAGCATTGAATAAATACTGGTGAGGAAGATAAGCAAGACTACTTCCCTCACAAAGCTTAGAATTTTCTGCTTTAGTTCACTTCAGACCCAGGTGTAATCGCAAGATAATCATTCATGCGTTGATTGGATGGCCATGTATAAAATAGCTCTGCACTTGGGGAGGTCAATTCATGAGACTATCAGAGGTCAATCATGATAGCTGTGTGCCATAAAATATAATTGCTGGACTATAATCATCAGGAAAGAATGTTGTAATCTATTTCATCCTCTCCACAGAATTGCCTAATTGGAATACTAAATTGATTTGAATTTTCTCTGTCTCTGAAAGAGATTAAAAATCATCAATGATCATTTATATGCATTTAACAAATACTTTTTTGCTTTGTTTTAATGGTTTAGGCACATGTCACTGTGGCAGGTGTAAGTGTGATAATCCAGATGGAAACGGCCTCGTTTATGGTAAATTTTGTGAGTGTGATGATAGAGAATGCATAGATGATGAAACAGAAGAAATATGTGGAGGTAGGTATACCAACTGTGTAGAGATTAATAAAAGTACTTGATTTTCACCTATTTTATTGTGCTTTTGTCACCTTATACATTTCTGCATTGTTTACTCATTTAATCTGAATTTATGTTTATTTGGAAAACACCTCATATAAGGCATTAGGGTAGACTAGTACTTTTTAAATGCAAAATCAGACTGTTCCCAGGGGAAAGCCAGATCATTATGGCAACCGACCAACTGTGTGGGTCTAGAGTGATCCTACCTGTACTTCATCTTCCCTGCTTTCTGAAGCCACTTTTATTTTGTCTCTTTTCTCCCAGTCTCTCAATTGCATGTGTTCATTTCCTTCTATTTCCCTTTCTAAATCATAAACATTTAAATGGTTTCATGTTCTATTGGAGACTTTGGAGGCCGAAAGGATTACTAGCCTAGAATCTGTCCCTCCCTACCACATACTCCGATAACATTTTTCATGATCTTTTCTATGTTTCTAAGGTATTTCTAACACCATTACTCAATCCAGTCTTCTGTTGAGGCAGTTACTGCATGTGCCACACTTCCTAGTACTAAGCACGGCAATAAGTTCTTCACATTCCCTGGGAAATGCACCAGGGGTCATTCCAGCAATCGCAGTGGGATTTAGACACTTGTTTGTCGGACACCAGACACTGTGCCCTTGACCCCGCTCATGGAGATTTGTATCCATGCCCTGGAGTCTGGAGCTCCATGAGGAGAGCCCCTCCTTGTCACCCGGAGTGTCCTTCTCTTCTGCTTACCTCTCTGGGAGCCTGTCCCCAGAGTTTATATTTATGCGCATGGCCAGCCCAGGAGAGGAAAGGAGAGAGCAGCGAGAATCCCTGCAATTTACTTAAATGTAAACATTTCAGCCTGATACTGCTGGCTTCCTTTCTCCATTAATAAGGAATTGTTTCTTTCATTTATCTCTGACAAGATTCCAGTGCATGGAATCCTACATAGTCTGCCTGCAGAATGGGTGATTTCAGAGGAGAATTTTCCTTGGAAGGATCAGGGACAAATGGGACAGGAGGAACCAGAGAGCCAAAGAGAAAGTGTCGCTAACTTGGGACAAGCTGTCCTTCTGTTTACAGAAACAAATTATAGCTTCAATTCTTGCGGTCATCCAGGTTGACCTATTTTAGGTCTGCTTGGTTCCCTCTGGTTTCCTTGCTGTACAATCCACCGAGATAAAACAGACACAAACACGTTTTTCAAGGCAGTGACCTAAGCTAGATGCCATGCAGATAATTCTGTTAATGGACTCCATCCAAAATAATTGGAAGAGTTAGGTAAATCCTAACCTATAAATATTATGTATGTATCCTACTGGTGTTTCATTTCCAGTTACGATGGGCCAGAGAAGAGGCAGGGAACGTGCTTGGGACCACTGTGTCCTGATGCACACCACCAAAGCAAAGTCTGTTTGCATGTGTAAATGTAAACATTTAACTTCAGCAACACAGTGAGCATGGTTGGGCTCCCAACCCTCCCACTAATCATTCCCATTTGTTTGAGGCTTAAGCAATTTCATGGTGCAAAGTCTCTGACCACAGACTCCAGCACTCCAGTAAGTATCCTCTGGGGGTGACTTTGGCTGGGATTGTAGATCTTTCTGCATGTCATTCACATGAAACCGATCTGTTGAGCGGTGACTCTACGGCCCATCAGTGGAACAATTTAGGAGATTTTCTCGCTTCATCAGCTCACACAAAGCAAAGAGTGATATTTATTGTGTGCCGTGTGTACTGTCCCAAGCTTGTATTTTATCTCAATTACCCACATGTGGCTTGTTAACAATATTTTCCTTTGGGTTGTGAGGATATCTGCTTAATTTTTCGTATCTACATATAAATGTAGTTTTACGTGATTCTTCTTTCCTTATTCACCTACATCTCAGTGATTTATTTTTACTAAAAGCCTAATTCAATTCAATTTTATAAATATACAAAGAATTTGGGTGAGAAGAATATAGATTTGAGATTATTTGTTAATGTCGTGGTAATGCTTACTTACATAGCACCTTGCATCAATTTCCTAAAATTACAGAGGAAACAAACTGTAGTTTAAGAAGTTAATCAAGTCTTAAAAAAAAAAAAAAACAAACAGCTGACTTCTAGAAAAGCTTTTGGTACACAGTCATCTTGCTGTTTTCCAGTGTAAGTTCCTGAGGAGACAGCCCTGGGATGTGATATTTTGTGTGGGTACAGGAGAGATGTTTTTGAGTTCATAAATAAAATGTGTAGCTTTTATATTTTGTTACTGGTGAAATCATCGGATAGCCCTTACATTGCCTTCGTGAGCAAATTAAAATGAAAATTTGTTATAGAAATAATCAGTGACTATTAGGTTAATAAGAGGTTTTCCATGGAAATCCAAATTAAAGCTCATTTAGAGAGAAAATGTGGCATCGCGTGCTTAGGTCCCTACCTCTTTCTTATATTTCACTCTAGCTCTCTCTCTCTCTTTCTCCCCCTTTGTCTCTCTGATGTATGTCTGTTGTTCCTCATCTCATGGATGAGAATAGCGTAAGAGACCAGAATCTTCTATTGCATTTTCCCCTTGTTGTGTGAGTTAAATGGCCCTACCGACACTCCTGCCATGAGGCAGAAATGCCATATTTTTCTTGAGAAAGAAAAATAGCTCCTGGTCAGTTTTCCCATGGGCCCTCTGAGATTATGGCTGCAGGGCTAGCGAGAGGGAAGAACAAAGCCTTTAGCGGCAGACTCTGATAACACACAAGTTTCGATGACATAGAAAGAAGAGATTCAACAAAATCCAGCCTGACCCTCATGGTTACCACCTTTACCGGGACAAACACACATTCATGGCTGGGTGGCTGGGTGGCATAAGCTATGAAGTGACTTGAGGTACATAGAATTTTCACCTTCTGGAAGCCAGAAGGATTGCCCAGTAGGGGTGCAGGAAGGAGGATGCGACAGCTCATTAGGTGTTGCTTGGAAGTCGGTACAAAAGAGCAGGGTAAGGTTTAATAAGAGGCAGGTCCCAGAGGAGTGTGGTGGCTTCGGAACACAAAACGATGGGCATCCTTCCCTATCATTTTGCCCGCTTGATAAATAGGAGGGGGATGTGATTGGGAGGCCAAGAGTCCATGATATTTTATTGGCCTAAAAGAAGATGAAACACTGATTTAATGGAAAACCTCTTTTCCTCATGGTGGAACACAGCAGCCTGTGGGACACATTTGAATGGAAAGATGAAATATTTCCCCTGGTTTAAGAAATGGTTCAGTCATTAATACTGTGCATCCGAGTACATATGTACCCGTGGTCTCTCAGTGGTTGGTTTCAAATGAAATGCTTAGATGACCAATTCCAGAAATGCCTCAGAATGAAGGCTTACATACCTTTGACTTTGAGGCTGTACCTTTGAGATCGGAAGGTAGTAGACAGGCTTTCATAGCCTTTCATGTCATTTCTGTAAATTTCTCTCATTTTTAATCAGCGACCTGGCTAGGACAAGTTAGAGGACACTTTGGCTTGCTTTGTGGGTATAATTACATAGGTCTATGCCCAAGAATGGTGTTTTGGGAGCAAATATATAAGTTGATTATTTTAAGGAAGGACGGTCCGGCAGGTATATTTTATTTCAAAAGGCGAAACTGATCATGAAGAGGTAGGAAGTTAATCTTGCTTTTGAAAGTTGCTTTTTTTCCCTCACTCTCTCAAATTCATTTTGGGTAAAGGCCATGGAAAGTGTTACTGTGGAAACTGTTACTGCGGGGCTGGTTGGCATGGAGATAAATGTGAACTCCAGTGTGATATCAGCCCCTGGGAGAGCAAGCGAAGATGTACATCTCCAGATGGCAAGATCTGCAGCAACAGAGGTGTGTCATTCATTCATTCACATTACTAACGACCGCAGGGGTGAGGGGGTGGCGGGCAAAGCTCTGAATTGTTAAGACTCCTCTTCTCTGGATTTCCTTTGGTATGGGGGGGAAGTTGTCTTTTATGGTGTTTGACTTTGATGTAAGTCCACATTTACTATACCGAAGAGCTTCTCTCTCTCATTTTTTATGGAGTAAAAGAGCAGAAGGATAAGAAACTTGTTACAGTTCTCCAAGCTTCACTGAACCAATAGTTAACGTAGGGACAGTAATTTCTTTGGCGGCCACCCAGAAATAGCACAGGACAACTAAAAGACAATTCTCATAGACACTTCCGTTAAACATCTCTTGACTAACAGAACCGTCTACAGCACGAACATTCTGATTATCTAGAGAGCATTCAAGAAACTCTCTTGTCTTGATAGTGAGTAAACCGAAGGCTTGGTTGTCATTCAGAATTGATTTGCAATCGGTTCACTTTTATCTGCAGGAATAAAATGGTATTGAAGAGATATAGAAGGTACGTGTCAGGCGGCCATAGAAAATTGAGGCTGACCTCTGACATGAACTTTAAGAATATCTTAGGATTGCTACAGTGTAATTTAACCTGTTGATATTGATTGATTAACTATTGATATCAAATCAAATCAGTTTTCAACACTTTTTAAAACCCTTGAAAATACTCTCCATTTTTTTCCTTATTAGCTGTACTGGTCAGTAGGAGAGGGCCATGTGGGACTGCTCCTTGCCTACCTGATGACATAAATAAGTGACCATTTTTCCGTCTAAAAAGCATAAAAATCTAGAAAGTTGGAAAACTCTATTTTTTCATTTCTATAAATGAGTGATGCTTCTTGATAGATTATGCTTCCATGGAAAACCAATTCTATGTTTTGAAAACTTGGCATAAAACATTGACATGGAAGAGTGAAATGGGCCACATTTCTGTACGCAGGGATAGGAAAGCAAAAGGCCTGAACTTAGAACAAAAATCAGAGAGAAGAGTCCTCTTGTTATATGCAGAATCAGTCTGACTCTAGAGCATACGCATTCATGTTATGTTTTCCTTTACTCTGTAAGGACGTGTTGCTGCCCGAGTCCTTTTTATTAGAGCAGTAGGGTCTGTGGTCCGCATTGTGATTTTACCATCTGCAGCTTATGCGGCGTCGCCGTGGGAAGCAAGCATCTGGGTGTTGTAAGGAGCCAGGAGAAAAGTGGAAATGGTTGGGCGGGGCAGCAGGTGGGCTCTGAGAGAGAGGTCCTTCAGAAACACACACGACGCGCCCCCTCTCTTCAGTCTCACCTCCTGCCTCCCCTTGCCCCGGAGCTGTCCGGTCTGGAGATCCACCGAGGACAGAAAGGAGAACAGCATGTCTGGACGAGGCAGGTTCGCAGTGAGACTCAGGGGTTCCTGAGAGTGAGTCGGGGAATCACTGCCATGCGTCCTTTCTTTCTCCGTGTCTCCCCTAGCACTCTTTGCCATCGTTGCTTCCGGGCCAGGAAAGAGACACCAATCCTGTACAAACTTACCTCATCTTCCTTGTTAGCCCATCTCCAAGGCCAAAAAACCTCTGTGGCAGACACAGCTCCTCGGGGATAGAATGCAAGTCCTGCATTGCCCCAAATGGCTTATTCCATTTCACGCTGGACCCACTTAGGCACACACCTGTGCTCACCCTCACTCCCGCATCTATTACACTATTTGGAAAGGCACATGTATTCGTTTTTTAAAATAAAGACATGGATATTTTAAAATACATCTTAAACATTCAGATAGAACCACCTTTTACATTTTGGTGCATGACCCTACAGTCTCTTGTTAGCTTTCTTTTTTGTCAGATAGATGGTAAGTTTCTTGAGGGCAAGGACTCTAACTCATGTTCACTGTTCTGATTTTATTTTAGAGAGAAACCAGTACCGTGCTAACGACACATCCCACAACTCCACACAATTATAGACACAGATACTAACTTCTGTTTATTAAAGAATCTCTCCTGTCTGCTTTAGATAGTGTTTTTCCTTGGTAGAACTTTATTTTTCCTCCAATATATGTATTTTCCAAATATGCAGTAGGCAAAAGATTTTAAAAAACAATTATGTCAGATGCTTTCTTTCGTGATTTTTCTTCACTAAAATCATATATATTTTTCCCCCCATCTAGGGACTTGTGTGTGTGGCGAGTGTTCTTGCCACGATGTTGACCCAACTGGAGACTGGGGAGATATTCATGGGGACACCTGTGAGTGTGACGAGAGGGACTGTAGGGCTGTCTATGACAGATATTCCGATGACTTCTGTTCAGGTATGTTGCTCTTCTCATTCCTGTTTTAAAGTTAAAAAAAAAAAAGTGTATATATATAATACTAATTTTCCTATTTTCAAGCTTCATACTGATTCTCACAGAAACTGTAAAATATCTGTGTCTGTAGGGTCCCTGTTTGGCTCAGTAGGTTAAGCATCCATCTCTTGGTTTCAGCTCAGATTCTGGTCTTAGGTTCATGAGATCGAGCCCCACCTTGGGTTCTGAAACTGGTATGGAGCCTGCTTGGGAATCTCTTTCTTCCTCTCCCTCTGCCCCTCCTCTCATGCTCACACACACACTCTCTCTCAGAATGAAAGAAAAAATGAATGAATGAATGAATGAATGACTGAATCTGTGCATTGGAAAGAGTTTGATAGTCACAGTGCTCCTGTGAGTACCTTGGAAAACCTTTGGAGAATTTACACATCAGCAAAGACCAGAGATGAAAGGGCCTCAATTTTCTTAAAACTAGTCTAACTCCTCACCAAGGAGAACCCCCTCTTCCAGATATCTGTTGCTCGGCTCTGAGCGCACAAAACCAGCAGACCGAGGACAGATGACAGTATCCGGGGTGGGGACCCTGAGAACAGCTACGCTCATGTATTACACAACTTGGCGTAACACAGTTCTCGTGGATATTTTCATGCCCTAATTCCTTGGCATAGTTTATATCCCAAGATTATTCTGTAGATTAGTGTAGGATTAAATACCAATAAGTGGATTCAAAAATTTTTTTTCCATAAACATTTATGAGCAGATACTGTTCGCCAGGGTCTGGATGGCTTTGGGGCTGTAGGTTCCAGCAGCAAAGGAGAGAAACAGGATGGATCTTCGGCTTGAGGGAACTTGCAGTTTTAAGTGCGAAGGAAAAACACACCCTGCCAGGGCTGCTCAGGGCTCAGAGGGGAAAAGAAGGCAGTCAGGTTCCTCTAAAAAAGCATCGTTGAGCAAAAACTGGAGTTGCAGCTTTTCAGCCCCATTATATTTGACCACCCAGGAGACAGAGAGCTACGCATATCCGTCTTTTTTAAGCTGGACTGCTTGATGGGTATGTAAGTAGATAGGAAAGTCCACCGTCCCCTGAAGGTTAGCCAGCAAAGGGAGATGAAAGAGCCACCCTATTTAATCAGGATTATGCAGCGGCAGGAGCTTCTCTGGTCCCGCTGAGGGGAGAGATTGCTGCTGAAACTTCCCACTGGAGAAGAGCTTCCCTCTCCTGATTATCCCGCATGCTCGGGAGAACTTCCTAAACATTTTGTGAGCACCCTACTCTTGAGGGGATGCTCTTTCCAGATTTTTCTATTGTTCATTATGTAGGAGGGGTCTTCATTATTGCCACAATGGAAATGAGACCACTGCCAACTCTTGGGTGACTCTCTGTGCCAGATACTGTCTAAGCACTTTCCAGATTGTGGCATTTGTTTTTTGGTCAAGGTCTACGAGGAAGGGAATCTGTTTCTTTTTGATCTACACACGGGATTAGTGAGGCTCAGGGAAGTTCCATAACCCGTGAGGGCCTCACAGCCAAGAGACAGAATCACAATGTTAACGAGGTCTATGAATCCAAAGAAGTGGAAGGTTCTTTCTTAACCGAAAAAATGTTTGTTTAGACTTCACTTTACTAGGACAAACATCAGGAGCCAACTATGCTAGAGGCACTATGTAAGATATCAGGGTCTAAAAATACAAAAGAATTCATGGGTTCTACCCTCAAAAAACTTACTGGATAGCAAAAAGGACAAAACAAACAACAACAAAATAAACCTGTCAAAACCAAAGCAAAACAACAATGACAAAGCTGCCACATTAACATGAAATTTTAATATAGTGTGGAATGGGAGATCCGCAGAGTCATGGATTTGTTGCTTATCTGGCCATTCATTGACCTGGGAACATAGCAGCAAACACCACAGATCACATCCCTCCTCTCACGGAGTTTACATCCCATCAGGACTGGAGAGGCAACGAACAAACGTTTTAAGTAAGCAGTGTAGAGAATGTTGGGCCTGGGCTCCTTTGGCATTTTCCTCAGGGGGATGAGGCTCTTCACAGAGGTGGTGACTTAGGTTCCTGCATTGCTGATTTTTTTGGATCACCATACACGTGCCTGCCCCTACCCTGCCTGAAAGGTAGGCTCCCAGGTAAAAAGAGATGAGAGGAACGTCCTAGGACGTAGAAGTGTGTGATCTGTGCTGGGGACTAGAAATCAGTTTAGCTATCACCGGAATGCACCAGAGACAAAAGTTAAAGCGGGTGAGAAACAGAACTAGAGGTCTTTTTACCCTGCTGCAGAACCAGACTCTATTCCAGAGGCAGTGGGGAGCTAGTGATGGTTTTAGGCAGCAACATGCTACACTCACAGGTTTCCAGTCTGGTTGTCTGGGGGCCATTTACTGAAACGGGGAATATAGAAGGAAATTGGCAAATTTATTTCTAGATATTGAGCCTAAAGGACCAAGGGCAATCCAAAGCTGTTTTTTTTTTTTTTTTTCCAGCCCATTGAATATGTGAGTCTGAAGGGTCAGGGCTAAACATGAGAAGTCAGAGCCCTAGAGTGGGTCATTAAAAATATATTAAGGTTCAGGAAATGTCATTTAAAAATGTTATTTTAAGATTGTCAGTGAGATAAAACTTGACTTCATATAATTGTAAATGGGGGAATGAAGGCGATAATCAGGCTATATAAAAAATTATGTTTGTGACTTTCTGATAAGATGTTACTGGTTTTGGTTTTTGTTATTGTTTTGTTTTTTGTTGTTTGTTTGTTTTACATAGGGTGTGTTTTTCCTTGATAAACCCATGATCTTGATTTGGGAGTGGGGTTGAAAAATTCAGAATAGCTACATAATAGTGACCACTCAGGGTCACACGTGCTGTTCTGTCTCATGGTGAGGGAGAGGGGTTGTGGGGTGAAGACGGGCAGTGACACTTCAGTCCTTTTATTGTAAGCTCACAATTCCTACTGCGTGTCATCTGGGCTCAGAGTTACCACTCTAGGTTGGGCAGGTGAAGGTTCTCAGGAGGCCGCCTTGGAAATAAAATTCTCCACTTCATCTCTTCCTTCCCTTCTTCCTTCTCTCCAGTTTCCTCTTTCTCACATTTTCCATTCCTCCCTATCCTAGGAGATTTCAGGGAAAGTGGCTGTGGCTGTGGTAGGTCGGGTTTATCGTGGGAGGAGGTTAGGGAAGGATGCTTAACCCTTTACTTGTGGTCTCGGTGCTGGGGGTGGCGCAGACCCGTTGTGGTGGCAAGAAGGGATGAGGCAAGAGGCTGTGGTTTGGACAAGACATCAGTCTGGAAGTGTGATCTTAGCATTTCTGTGTTGAGGTGAACTGAGCGTGGCCAGTGCTCCATAGCCTGCCTCCCACACTTAAAAGGAAGAACTTAGGGAAGAAGAAACTCACTTTAACAGAGACCCCACTCTTTTAGCCCATTTCATGCCCCTTGTCCCCCCCCCCTTTTAAAAAAGATTTTATTTATGTATTTGACGGAGATCACAAGTAGGCAGAGAGGCAGGCAGAGAGAGGAGGAAGCGGGCTTCCCTCTGAGCAGAGAGCCCGATGTGGGGCTCGATCCCAGGACCCTGGGATCATACCTGAGCCGAAGGCAGAGGCTTCAACCCACTGAGCCACCCAGGCGCACCCCCGCTTGTTCCCTTTTATGTTCACCCTCACTTGGAGGGGGAGACATTGTTACCTGCATTTTTAACAGGAGAGGAAACAGGTTCAGAAAAATTAAGTAACTTGACAGGGTTCATGCAGCCATTAAGTGTCATCTAGAAGCACATACAGAGCCCAAGGACTCATGTAATTTAATCTTCAAGTGATGCAAACAAACTTCTTCAATTTTATTTTATTTTGGTAAGGAAGAACTGTCCTCCGGACGCTCCAAATTCTTATAAAACAAAGCCTCTCTGAACATCCTTATGATCTGAGGCAGGCACGCATCTCTGGGATATCTTCATTTTCAGCAAATCTGTTGAATTCTGGACGTTCTGTTCAGTAAACTATTAGTCTTCACAGTTTTCCTCATTGGCCCTCGGGGCTGTACCCCGGCAAGCGTGCCACGCAGCTGACTGTCGAGGCTGTTAGTGCCTCTGTGGTAGGAGACAGGAGTAACCCAACGACATCAATGTTCTCCAGTGACTTCCCCAAGGCTGGGATGTAAGAAGGCTCAGGTGAAACACAGCTTTATTTTGCTCTCCCGTTCTTGCCATCCTGAGGTGTTTGTCTTATTTGAGTCCCAGGGAAATCTCCTGGTGGGTTGGTTGACTTTGCACTTTTAATTGATGTTCTCCTTGTTTTCATTCATTCCCGCCGAGGCCATTCATCTAATTAATAACGCGCTAAAATGTAAATATTTTACGTTGTGGATCCACCAGACACAACTATTTTAAAACCTGCTCCCTGGTCCCAAATCAATCAGTTTTATTTCTTTCTTCTTTCATTCCTATTTGTTGTTCGTCATCCACATTGTGTGTGTGTGTGTGCGTGTGTGTGTGTGCACCACTTCATCTATACACAGATATAATTCATGTGCACACCCAGATACACGTACGTACGCAACACCTCAGAGGTTTTACTATTAACAGAATTTGAGTGTAGCTACAATAACCAGGGCTTGACCGGCCATCCCGAAGTGTACCAGCGGCTCTATTTGTTACTGCTGTTCTGTGAGCTGCTGCACTGGGTTGACTTACTGGTCCCAAAATAACTTTTATTCCCGGTGGCTGTTGACATTCTGGTCTATTCCCCCAAATTCCGTAACTGCTAAAATATGCCGCAGTGTGACCTTAAACTCAATGTTTCAACTTGGCCTGCCTATCACAATGATGAAAATAGGTTAGCCCTGGCTTAGCGTTCCATTAATTTGGAAAATGGAATCATTTGACAGGACCACATTGTGTGGGTGAACTTATCATGGTGGATTACCAAAGCATCGTGGAAAGAAACTGAAGGACATGATTGAGTACATTCAGGTTGCATTGTCTTGAAAGGAAAATCAGCAAATAAACCAAATGGATTTGTTTTCTTAAATAACAAGTACTAGTTAGATCTAATTTATTCCCCCAAACTTTTCCTATGAATGGTCATCATCTTACTTTGTAAGAAGCTGATCGTAGAAGTCAGATCCCAGTTCACAAGAAGTTTTGATCATTTTAAAAGAAAGAAATATCTTCTACAGCAGAAGAACATTTATCTGGAATGGATGCAACTACATTGGTCCCAGATTGATATTTCTGAGATGACTTTGCTCCAAAGAGCACAATGATTACAGAGAAAAAATAGGTTTGCTGTCATCACCCTCTCCTGTAATGGCCTGAGAGCCTTTAAAGCTCCTACATGCCCAGCACTGCCACAACCATGGTGCCAGCTGCCTGCCCATGTGGCACTGATTGGGCTGTGATCCCATCACCTGGGCACTGTGTTGTTCTTCCGTGTGTGTGTGTGTGTGTGTGTGTGTTTAATGCAGGTCATAGGTCTTATGAAAGCTATTCTCTAATGTGCATTCTTTACATGTTTGCTATCAGGGATAACCACATTCTGTATTTGTTGATCCTCTGCCTACAGAGGTTAAAGGAATACTTGTTAGAAGCAATGGAATTAACACCTGGAGGCCATATCTATCTATCTATCTGTCTGTCTATCTGTTTATCTGTCTATGTATCTACTTGGCAAAATAGCGTGGAAGTATGAAATTTCAGTGTGTAAAACTCACTTTTTATAATTCTGTCATTTTAAAGATAAAATGAGATGAGGACCAGAAAGGTAGACTAGTGATGTATTTAGACTGAAGATACAGAACTCCTAATTTCTTCTTTTATGCATCTTTCACTGTTTGTTTGGAAAAGACTTACTGTAGTATATATGGCAGTCAAAAGGATTTTCATGCTAAACAGATCTTATCATTTCTAAACTCTTTTTTATATATCAGCATCAAGCATTTTCATCTTCTTCATTTTATTCCTATAAAATGATCCTCTTTTTCCCTTTTTGGCATAACTTTTATACTGAAATTGAGAAACTAGTAATTCCAGGAGAGAAATTGCAATTTCATTGTATGATTTCCTGTCTTCTCCGAAAGGCTTAATACCAGCTTCAGAATCTGATATCAATACCATGCATTTTTAAGTGATTTCCTAATTCCACTGATGAAATGTCATAAAGGATTTTATAGAAAAGGTACAGTTTCATTTAAAGCGAGATCCTAAAGTGTTCTGAAATATACTTGAACTGCACATGAATTAGAGTTATTGAAAGATGGAGGATATAATTTTCATTACCAAGAAAGTAAAAGTTATGTTTATGTTTTAACCTAATCTCTAATAAACATTTAGATCAGCAGTACTGCTGTCAATACTACTTTTTTTCTTCCTTTTAGGCTAGAATTATTTAAACTTTCTTTATTACTTTCTTTTTTTTAAAAGATTTTATTTATTTATTTGACAGAGAGAGAGAGCAGAAGTAGGCGGAGAGGCAGGCAGAGAGAGGGGGAAGCAGGCTCCCTGCTGAGCAAAGAGGGCTTGATCCCAGGACCCTAAGATTATGACGTGAACTGAAGGCAGAGGCTTAACCCACTGAGCCACCCAGGCGCCCTGAAACTTTCTTCATTACTTTCACATTTGCTTCTCTGTGATCCTCACTGAGACATTTGATTTAGGTATTTCTACTTTCCCCAAACAATGAAACCCTTAACAAACATTCTATATCCCTACTATCATTTAAAGTGGTTACCATGCATTCGCTGACTCTCAGGAATTTCATTCATTATAGATGATTGAATTAGGTCACTCATAATTTAATAACCCTTCTTTCTTCAGCCCAAACTTGTTCAATTGATGTTGACTTCAGATGGCAGAGTGTAGAAGAGACTCCTAAGTAGGTGATTTGAGGAGGACCCGTGGTCATCCTGAACTAAATAATGTTCTCCTGCTGTGACAGTTTCCTATTTAGAGGCAAAAGCTTTCATTCTGCAGCCCATCATAGCAGTGACACGGTCTTATCAATTTATTCCTGTGCCTAAGCAATGGACTCAGTGGGATTATCGAGGGGACTTTGATGGGTGAAGGCTGAGGCTGAGTCGGAAGGCACAGGAGGTTGGGGCTCATCACATATGTGGCAAAAGTGAGGGACACATTGTATGTGTTCTGCCCAGCTGTGCTTGGAGCTGGCGATGCCTGGAGGTGATGCACCAGCTTAAAGGTCTCATTCTTGAGAGCGTTCTTGATGCTGCACTAAATGTACAGGAAATAGAGATGTAGGAGTGCATAGGCTGCCTTTCTCCCAGTGACTATCAGAGAACAGAAATAGTGAAGGGTTAGAAAAGACATAACTTTAGAAAGGGTTAGAAAAAAGGCACAACTTTAGGGAGGAAAGTGAAACAGAGTGAGGAAAACAGTATCATAGAAAACATAGAGTGAATATGGAGCATAATGGTGAGAGAGTTTCAGAGATTTCTCCTTTTAGGTCTAGAGCAGCTACATTCCGACCCCCCCCACCCCAAAATGTGTCCGTGTATCCTCTGACTTCTTTTGTTATTAATGGGACAGGATCTTAACTCTAAAAATCTCTTCTTCATAACTTCTGATAGTCTTCATGAATTCATTTCATTCCACCACGAGTTGTGTTTGAAATGTTGACATGGGAATGAACCTGAGATAGAAACTAATGGCTGCTCTGAAGCCTGTTTTCCATCCACAGAAGTGGAGGACATTCTCCCCTCGGTCACTGTTCTCTCCCTGCGCACAGGCTCCTGCTTCATTCTGTGCCTGGGGACCAGGACCGCACACGGGGTGTGTGGTGGTGGTGTCCTGGGTAGTCAGGGACTGCTTGACATCCTTGCGTACTGAATATTTTCTTCTGACGTTCACAGCTATTTTCAGCTTTTAAAAATGAAGCTTTCTTCCTCCCTTTCAATATAACTTTTTCACTGTTCTTGTTATCAACTAGTCTCTAACCAATGAGAGCATGTTCTGTACTTTGTCCAGTATCCTTGTAGATCTAACTGACCTAGGAAAGAGACCTCTTATCTCCAAGAACTCCAGAGCCATTGACTTCTATAAACAGCCGAATTGTACTTGAAAACTGTACTTGAAACTGTACTGAAGAGCAGTTTCCATATTGTATGATTTATATCAATATCAGATCCCAAAGACGAAATACCAAGATTTTCATCCATTAATATCACACTCAGTTTACTTCAAGAAAATATAATTCCACTTCCTTTAAAGTTTTTCATGCATTTTTGGGGGCACCTGGTTGGCTTAGTCTGTTGAACATCCAACTCTTGACCTCAGCTCAGGTCTTGATCTCAGAATCGTGAGTTTGGGTCCTGCATTGGGATCCACATTTGGCATGGAGACTACTTAAGATTAAAAAATGTCATGCATTTTTGCAGCAGTTATGGAAATCCACAGTGTTCTGCATCTGTAATAATGAGTATCTAAATGTTGATTAGGAATTAAGAAAAGCTCAGCTTTCTTGCTTTTCTTTCTATCCCTACTTGTTTACATATGTGGTATTGAATAAAAATAATAATAGCTCACTTTTATGTAGCATTTTAAGATATATTATGTACTTCCTGATAAATATGGACTGACAATGTATTATTATCTTATTCAAAAATGAAGAAACTCAGAGATGTTGACATTTCACCAGCTATGCTCTGTATACAGCAGGACCAGGATTTGGACCCACTTACTTATTGGATTGATAACATAGGCCATTTTTTGCTAAGCCATACCACTACTCATCACAATTTGTTACAGGCTCTGTGACCATGTGTAAAGAAATTTAATATGTTTCCTCTTTTGGGTATACTACACTCCTCCTCAGGAAATGTGAACGCCACAGAAGTTATTGGTTTTAGGCTAAGAGTCTCCAGGTTAAGCATGTAGTATGTAGAAAAAAGGTAATGAAAAGTGTGGGGGACTCCACAAGATAAGACATGTCTCAACAGCAAATTGTTTTCAGTTTCCTGTGGCTCTTCTCCACATGAATTAATTACCAAATCCATCAAATACTCCATTTAGGCCCCAGCAGACCAATACAATCACATGCACCTGGATTTTGATGGATTCACGTGTATAGTCCTACAGACCCATTTATCTTACCAGGAGCAGTTGCTTTTCTTTACCCCTCATGATCAATCAATGTAAATCAGGTATTTAAGAACTTGAGAAAAAGATGCCTTGGCTTTAGGGTTTCATATGGTGTTGAGATCCTGGCTCATTTGTGATACTGTTGAAATGAAAACTAATTCTGACTTCATTGTCTAGTTTTTCATATTTTTTAACACTCTCACTCTGAAGGTCACGGGCAGTGTAATTGTGGAAGATGTGACTGCAAGGTAGGCTGGTATGGGAGGAAGTGTGAGCACCCACGTTCCTGCCCACTTTCTGCGGAGGAGAGCATCAGGAAGTGCCAAGGAAGCTCTGCTCTGCCTTGCTCCGGAAGGGGTAAGTGAGGGCTCTCAGGCTTTGTCACCACCTCCTGTCCTACGCGTCCAGTGCATTCAGTTCATGTATATCTTTTTTAACATAATATCACATACTATCTTACTTAGCTGTGATGCCTCAATAAGGAAAGATTCATCTTTGTAGAACTAATAATATACCCCATTTCCATTATTGAAAGTACATGGAGAAATATAATCTTTCTCATTCTCCCTCTCTGTTTCACACATGCATATACACACACACTCTCTCTCTCACTCACTCTTACTCATACCATCAGTTCAGCTTTGAGGTCTGTTCAGTTTCCATTTAGTTCAGGTCTGTTCAGTGCTACATTAAAAAAAACAAAACAAAAAACAGTTTTGCACAGCGAAGTTAACAAACAAAACAAAAAATCAACCTACTGAATGGAACAAGATATTTGCAAATGTTATATCCATAAGGGGTTAGTACCAAAATATATAAAGAACTTATACCTCTCAACACCAAAATCAACAACAACAACAACAAAAACCAAAAAACCCCTACAGTTTGATTAAAAAACAGGTAGAGTTTCCGAATAGACATTTTTCCAAAGAAAACATACAGATGGCCAGCAGACATATAAAAAGATGATCAGTCATCAGGGAAATGCATATCAAAACCACAATGAGGTATCACCTTACACCTAGCAGAATGGCTAGAATAAAAAAGACAAGAAATAACAATTGTAGGCAAGGATGTGGAAAAAAGTAACCCTTGTGTACTGTTGATGGGAATGCAGATTGGTACAACCACTGTGAAAAATGGAAATTTAATTAAAAAATCTAAAACTTTAAAAATGGAATTACATGATCCAGTAATTCCATTACTGCATATTTACACAAAGAATATGAAAACATTAATTTGAAAAGATATATGCCTGCCTATGTATACTGCAACATTATTTGCTATAGCCAAGATACGAAAGCAGCCTAAGCATTCATCAGTAGATAAATGGACAGAGAAGATGGGATGTCTATACACCATGGAATATTACTCAGCCATAAAGAAGAATGAGCTCTTGCCATTTGCAACAACATGGATCCCTCTAGAGGATATAGTGCTAAGTGAAATAAGCTAGATAAAGAAGATAAATACCATATGATTTCGCTTATATGTGGAGTTTAAGAAACAAAACAAATGCACAAAGAGAAAAAGACAAACAAGAGAACAGACTCTTACAGGGAACAAACTAGTGGTTGCCAGAGGGCAGGTGATGGGGACGATGAGTGAAGTAGATCAAGGGGATTAAGAGTATACTTTTTTTAAAGAAAAAGTTTGGATATCTGCTCAAAACTTTCTGAATGAGACCATTTAATTGTCCACCGACATTTCTGAAACTCATTAACGTTGCATTGAGGACCTTGTTAGCTTTTGAAAAAGCATCCTGGGAACAGACCGCTCTGAGTAGGCTTATGTTGTTCTACAAGACACATAGCCTTGGGTCTGCTCTTGGTCCCAGATCAAGTACAAATTGGAAGAGGAAGAAGAATTTGTCTAAAGGATAGCTGGTTCCATTATTTTCGATTTATCAAAATAAGAAATGCATTTTCACCTCTCACATGGAAATGGCAAAGTTAATATGAAATATGCCTTTGGAGGACCTGGTAATTGAAATTACTACAAATTTTGCTTGTGAAAGAGGAAAAAGAGAAACACTTCCTTTTACCTGAATGTTAGATCAGAAATTTAATTTATGTTGCAGCTTCCTCTTTGAAAAATAAATTTTTTATTGAGATATAATCTAAATACCACAGAATTCACTCTTTTTAAGTACGCCACTAAGTGGTTTTTAGTATATTTATAAAATTATGCAGTCTTCACCGCTATCTCATCCCACAGCATTTTCATCACCAGTAAAAGAAATCCTGTGCGCCTTACCAATCACTCTCCATTCTCCTCTCCCGTCAACCCCTAGAAACCACTGATATGCTTCTGTCCCCATGGATTTCCCTAAACTGGGTATTTCATATGAATGGAATAATAAAATACATGATCTTTTTGTTTCTGGCTTTTTTTCACTTAGCATACTGTTGTCAAGATTTATCCATGTACTTCAGTCCTTTTGATGGCTGGATAGTACTCATTTGTGTGGATATACCACATGTATTTATCCATTCATCTGTTAGTAGACATTTGGATTATTTCTAGAAACTTCTTGACCATCATGAATAATGTTCTATGAACATTCATGTATAAATTTTTGTGTGGGTGTGTGTTTTAATTTACCCTGGGTATATACATATATGTGGAGTTGCTGGGTCATAGGGTAACTAACTTTTTGAGGTACATCTAAACTGTCTTTAAAGTGGGGGCACCATTTTACATTCCCACCAGCAATGCAAGAGAGTTCCAGTTTCCTTACATCTTTCCCATTATTTGTTATCAGTTGTCTTTTTGATTACTTAGAGTTTTCTTCACATAGAAAACAAAGTCCCCAAGATTATTTGTACCATAGGTGATGTTCCCATATTCTGATATGTATCCCTACTGATTATCAGTAGAAGGTTAGGATATAGTTAAAAGAAAATTTTCATTTCATAAATTTTATTTCTGACTTGACCCCTTTTCACCAGCAGCCCCACATGGAAACTACTGTTTTACCTGCATTAATAAAATATCATCATTTGAGAGCTTGAGTAAACCTGTCACGCTTTTAAAGGAACAAAGGTTAAAAGTCACTGTCCTTCAGATTACTGTTATACATTCATTCATTGTTTAAAAATAACAAGTTTATGATGGAAAAATAAGAAAAGCCTATAAAGTATGTCTCAAACATAGAAAATCACTCTCTATTACCAGTTGTTTTTTATTTGCCCCTAAATTTTTTAATATGGTGTTAGGGTAAGAAAATTATGGTGGATTTTAATTTTTGTGGTTATCAGTCTTTGCTAACTCTGACAAACACATATTTGTCTCTTGCCTTTCTAGAGATTCTCTAATGTATTAGTTACCATTTTTAAGGAATAGCACATACGTAAAATTTATTTTGTTAAAAAGGTGTTGAATATTATGTTTAGAATTAGAAAACTTTTATTATTTTTATAATTCATTTAAGCTTTTTAAAGTACTTTAGAGATCAATAAAAAGCTTCTCCAGTTTGCTCGAGGGAAATGGAGGTATTGATGAGTGGAGTGATTTTGCAGGGAACCATAACAAAATATTAGAATTCTGAGAACGAAGACCGGGGATTTATGGGAGCTAGTCCAGTGCTTGGACCAGTGGTCAGAGACCCTCTCTTTCTCACAGAGCTACCTTTGCAAACTCACTGGCATTGGATGTTTTAAAGCAAATGGCCAATATGAAAACTTATAAAGGATTAGTTTTGCCATTTATGAGTGACAGCTACAGCTGTGCTTACATGAGTGAGGAAAGCAATTACAAGGCCCATCGGTTCTCAAGCCGGAGATCTGCAGCCGTTCGCTAGCTGGGGCCAAGAAAAAAATTCTTTGCGTAGAATGTACTGAAGTTCTTCAGTGTAGTCCACCTCAGGGGCCAGGTAAAGGCATTTGTGCAGCGGAAATTAAATTAGATTACTTGCTTCTACTGATGATGACTGAGTGTGATCATTATGTCTTGAAAGCAGGGGGATAATTTAGATAATCTCTTAAACTCTATTAATCCTGTGGCTCCTTGATTTCTATTCCTTATGGCCTACAAATATCTTTTTATTTAATGAGATGACTCTCGTCTACTTGATTTGGACCCTCAAGTATTCATCCTAGTTTCTGCCTCCTGGGCTTTGGAGCTCAGGGACAGCTTTCTCTAGTTTCATGCCAGGGCTCCGCTCAAAAACTTGAAATGGCTTATGATTGACTACATATTAATTTTAAGTTCTTTTTGACTTAAGAATACAATTTTTAGGTTTTTAATTGAGGTTCTCTTTCTGAGTGTGTGTCTGGCTTTGTCCAAAAAATGTGAGCAAATTCATGTGCATCACTTAGGAGCAGAGGCTTAAGAGGCGGTGAGAGATTTGCCATCTCTCTTGTCCCCGCATAGGGATTTGCAGGGTTTGCGATGGTGGTGATCCATTAGCTTGGGTGTCTGAATGAGGATGGTTGGAGAAACCTCTGCTGACCTACCAAGGACCTATAACAAGAGGGAGAAAGAAACCTTTGTTGTTTTAAGCAGCTGGAATATTAGGGTGGTTTGTTACTGCAGGAGAACTCCTGACTCAGACTCTTTTCCAGGTAAAACCTTTAGGGAATGTAGTTAGAGCAAATAAACAAGCAAACACAAAAAAAATACTTAACCCCAAAGAGAGGGGCACCTGGGTGGCTCAGCTGGTTAAGAGTCGCCTTTGGCTCAGATCATGATCCTAGAGTCCTGGGGTCAAGCCCCACGTGAGGCTCCTTGCTCAGTGGGATCCTGCTTCTCCCTCTCCTCCTGCCATTCTTTTGCTCTTTCTTTTAAATAAATAAATAAATAAATAAAATCTTAAAAAAAAAAAAAAGGAGAAGGAAAAAAACAGTTGAGGTTTGTAACTATATGCGTATCTTAGCAATAGCAATACGCATGTACATATTTTAAAAGTGATGTATTCATGCTGTTCTATCAACAGCATTTATGTACATTGTTCCACAGGTAGAAGGCTAAGAACATTGAGTGTATTATCTTTTTTTTTTTAAATATGTCCCCAATACAATGAAGTAGGAAGTATAATTATTCTTCTTTTTATAGAAAAAGAAATTGAAATTTGAAGAGTTTTTCATCCTGCATAATAAGTGCCAGAGGTGTAAGTTTTTATACAAACTTTTATTATAGGCCATCCAACCCCAGAGCTGTTGTTTTAGATCATTTACTCAGTCTTTAAACAATGCCAATTTGTTAGCAATATACAATGACTGCATTTCCTTGTTAAAAGCATTTTTATGCAAGATCGTTGATATTGTTGCATAGTATTCCATAGTATAATTGTGACAAACAAATTTAATTGGTCCTCCTCTGCTAGACATCTAAATCGTCTCTTAATTTATTCAAGT